GGCGAGAACTGGGACTGCGACTGGACAGGCGGAGGACACGCTACGGAGGGAGGAGGACAAGGAGGAGGAGCCTGACCAAGAACCTGCTGAAGAAGTGGTACGAAGTACGGTCGCGGCCGCGCAGCGTCTCCAGAACCAGCAGCGACACCAGCGGCAGGGTCCTCAGCACCAGCAGCAGCTCCACCGTCCAGGTCCTCAGCACCAGCAGCAGCTCGACCGCTCGGGTCCTCAGCACCAGCAGCAGCTCCACCGTCCGGGTCCTCAGCTCCAGCAGTAGCTCCAACGCCCGGGTCCTCAGCACCAGCAGCAGCTCGACCGCTCGGGTCCTCAGCACCAGCAGCAGCTCCACCGTCCGGGTCCTCAGCTCCAGCAGTAGCTCCAACGCCCGGGTCCTCAGCACCAGCAGCAGCGCCACCGCTGGGGTCCGCAGCACCAGGAGCACCACTCCGAAGACTGCAGCGCCGCGCGTACCACTCTCGGATCTGCTGAATGGGGGGGAGCTCCTGGGTAGGAGGGGAAGTACTGGTACGAGCTCTAGTAGCACCTCTCCGGAGGCGGCAGTACTGTAGGTACCTCTCCTGCAGCTGCTGGGAGGAGAGGGCTCCTCCAGGTGTAGCACGCTCAGGATCAGCACCTCCAGACACAGCACCCCCAGACGTAGCACCCCCAGGCTCAGCACCTCGAGACTCCGCACCCCCAGGCTCCGCACCCCCAGACTCAGCACGGTCAGGCTCAGCACCCCCAGGCTCAGCACCTCCAGACGCAGCACCCCCAGACGCAGCACCTCCAGACTCCGCACTCCCAGGCTCAGCACCTCCAGGCTCCGCACCCCCAGGCTCCGCACCCCCAGACTCCTCACGGGCAGGCTCAGTACCCCCAGCAGGACGAGAGTCAACAGCTACCTCGACAGGCTCAACCGGGTCTACCTGGGACACACCTGAGGGAGCGGCACCCTGAGGGGGGAGGGGGTCGGGTACCTCAGCACCTGGAGCGAGGAAGAGAGGCGGGGGGGGGGAGCGGGGCAGTGCGGTAGGGGAAGAGGCGGTAGTAGGGGACGGACTCGTCAAAAGTGACGTCCTGAGAGGCAAGGACACGACGCGAGGTGGCGTGGTAGAACTGCCAACCAGGCGCGTCCGGGACAAAGCCAAGGAAGACACAGGGGACAGCGCGACGGGAGAGCTTGTCCGCGGACGTGTCGCGAACAAAAGCTCGAGATCCCCAGACCCGAAAACGCGACGCATCGCCAGCCTCTCCCGTCCAACGCAGTGTCGGAGAAGTCTCCGGTAAGGAGACACGGGGCCAGAGGTTGAGCTGATGCGCAGCGTATCGGACTGCAAACGGCCACAGAAAGTGGGGGGCAGCCGCATGAACCAAGGAGGTACGAGCGACCTCCATGACCAAGCCAATGCGGCGCTCAGCAACCCCATTCTGCTGTGGAGAGGCCGGAAGCGTGAACGACTGCTTAATGCCCTCCTGCTGACAGAAGGCCTCCAAGAGGCCAGAGGAAAACTCCCCACCTCTGTCAGAGTGCAGACGCAGGACAGGGAAGTCGGAGCGGAAACGCTCACTGAGCTGGAGACGAGATCTGCGGATCCAAGGGATCAAGACATCAGGGACGTCACCCTTGGCGCGCAAGGGGAAGACCGTGGTGTAGCGCGAGAAGTCGTCAACAACAATCAAGAAGTACCTCTCCTGACCCTGACCACGGACGCGGGCTGGGCCCCACACATCCATGTGGAGCGTCTGCAAAGGAGCAGTCGTCGGGGGGAAGGAGGAGGAGTGAGGAGCGGCGCGCTGCCGCCCCTCGACACAGGGAAGACAGGGAGGAGCAGGCGAGGGTGGGAGGGGAGGGAGAACCCTGGGAAGACCAGCAACAAGGTCCCGTTGGTGCATGGCCCGAAGGCGCTGCACAGACGGGTGACCAAGGCGGTGGTGCCAGAGGACAGTCTCATGCGCCAGAGAGCGACACGAGCAGGGGGCGGACAGCTGACCTGACGCAGACGCAGACGCGGACGCAGCGACCTGAGGGGACTCAGTGGTCAGTGTGTACAGGTCCGACCCCGGCTGCCGAGTGAAGGTAGCCAGGTGACGGCCCGTCCGAGCACACGTGCAGTGTGTCACGCGCTCGTATGCAGGGGTGAACTGGTGAACACCCCCGTCCTGGAGCGCACGACCTGCCACCAAGTTCGTAGAGAACGAGGGGAGGTAGAGACCTGACAGTGTGCCTGACGGGACCGCAGGACAAGGAAGGACAGTGGAGGAGGTCGCAACGACCGGACCCCCAGAGGGGTCAGCGAGGGAGACAGCAACTGGCCGAGCGAGTGGCTCAAGGACAGTGCGGTCACGAAAGAAACAGCGAGAAGCACCTGAGTCCAGTGTGAAGGTGTGCAGTGCTGCAGTCGACTCAGTACCAGCGGGCACGGACGCACTAGCACCTAGAGCAGCAGCCTCACCATCACCTGAGGTGGCAGACACGCGAGCACCTGCAGTGGCGGTCTCACTAGCACCTAGAGCGGCAGCCTCACTCACACTACACGGCAGCTGCACCGGTCCGCACCCAGAAGCTCCCGAACGACGCACTCCAGAGTGACTACCACGACCACCACCCCGAGAGCCCAAACTCGCGTACCACTCACGAGCCCGCTGGAGCGTAAGAGGACACTGCTGCTGCACCTGTCCACTACCAGATGCTCCCGAACAACGCACGCCAGAGCGACTACCACTACGGCCACCCCGACAGCCCAAACTGGCGTACCACTCACGGGCCCGCTGGAGCGTAAGAGGACACTGCTGCTGCACCTGTCCACTACCAGATGCTCCCGAACAACGCACTCCAGAGCGACGACCACGACGGCCACCCCGACAGCCCCAACTAGCGTACCACGCACGCGCACGAAGCAGCTGGGGCGAAGGAGGGCACGGCAGCTGCACCTGTCCACTACCAGAAGCTCCCGACCGACCCACTCCAGAGCGACCACCACTACGGCCACCCCGACAGCCCCAACTAGCGTACCACTCACGCGCACGAAGCTGCTGGGGCGTGAGGGACTCACGCGCACGGCCCTGGAGCTGCATCTGGCCACGCCAGGAGCAGCAGTAGTAGCAGTAGCGGCAGCAACAGTAGTAACAGCAGGAGCTGTGGCAGTGGGAGTAGAAAAGGCAGTAGCAGCAGTAGCAGCGGTAGCAGTGCTGGGCAATGCTCACCAGTGGTCGGCGCGGCAGGCGCAAGACGGTGGCGACAGCGGGGCCGCTACAACTGCAGGGCTGGGCCGGGCCGCAGCAGGGAGCTCCGCGGCAGCTGCTGCAGGGCGAGGCCGGGCCGCGACGGCAGCTGCTCCAGGTGCCAGGGGCGGCTGCTGCAGTGGCGGCGGCTCCAGGGGCCAGGGGCGGCTGCTGCAGGTGCGGGCTGCTCCAGGGGGGGCTGCTGCAGTGGCGGGCGGCTCCAGGGGCTGCTACTGCAGTGGCGGGCGGCTCCAGGGGCTGCTGCTGCAGTGGCGGCTGCTCCAGGGGCTGCTGCTGCAGGGGCGAGAGGCGGATTAGGTCAGGGCGACGCGGCGGGCAGGTGGCGACGCCGCGGGCAGGGCGACGCGGCGGGTAGGTGGCGACGCCGCGAGCAGGGCGACGCGGCGGGCAGGTGGCGACGCCGCGGGCAGGTCGACGCGGCGGGCAGGTGGCGACGCCGCGGGCAGGTCGACGCGACGAGGGCAGGCGACGACGCCGCGGGCAGGCGACGACGTCGCGGGCAGGCGACGACGCCGCGGGCAGGCGACGACGCCGCGGGCTGGCGACGACGCCGCGGAAAGCGGGCCGCGCGCGGGTGGCTAGCAGGCCGTGCGTGCGCGGTAGGGAGAGGCGCACGAGGGCGCAAGAGCGCACGAGGGCGCGCGGTAGGGAGAGGCGCACGAGGGCGCGAGGGCGCACGAGGGCGCGCGGTAGTAAGAGGCGCACGAGGGCGCGAGGGCGCACGAGGGCGCGCGGTAGTAAGAGGCGCACGAGGGCGCGAGGGCGCACGAGGGCGCACGGTAGTAAGAGGCGCACGAGGGCGCGAGGGCGCACGAGGGCGCACGGTAGGTAGGTAGGTAGGTAGCGGTGGGCCCTAAAACGGTCCTAGTGAAGGACCTGCTCCGATAGCATGTTATAATGAACGAACAGGAATGATTGAACTAACAGTGAAATCAGTACAAGTACCTAACCCTAGAAATGTGTACCCCCTATAGGCTAACCCACTGTAGCCTAAACAAACACAACATATATAATGTTTGACACGAGGTGCTGGTATGTCCGAGTCCAGACAGCCTGTTTCCTCACTCCCCACCCCACTCCCTGCTCCCCGCTCCCCTTCTCCTCCCACTCCCTGCTCCCCCTCCCTCCTCCAGTGGCCGCCACACGTTCAGGTCTCTTCCGTTCGCCAATGTCAGACGAAGTGGAGAGCGCCAGGAGGAGCGCCCACGGCCTACCCGCGCCAGCAGTTGTTATTCTCACAGTAGGCTTCAATGTGCCTAGAACAAAGGATAGAGTGTGCAGTCGGATTTCTGCATAGCGGATTTAAACGTTCATAGCGATCTGGTCACAGCTCCAAACGACCTCATTCAACTTGGATCTGGAGCGTCTTAACGTCCTCTACAATATGTCAGTAATAACGGACTGGAATGATGAACTAACAAGGATTGTGAGTACAAATATGAAACCCTAATGTTGTGACCCCCCTATAGGCTAACCCACTACAGCCTACACAAATGCAACATGTATAATGTTTGACACACCCCCATAGGCAAAGTGGGGGAGACCTAGGGGTCACAAGACCAGTCAAGGCAAAGCAAGGCAACAACAAGCTCAGGGTGGATCTCAAGGATTCCACACAAATTCTGAGCACAAGCTAGTGGTCACAAGACCAGTTCACATGCAGGTTTATAACAGAGCAAGAGATACAGTGATCACAACCTAGCAAGAGTAAACATGCAGGTATAGATATATATATAGTGATCACAGTACAAGCAAAGTCAAGAGGTAAGTAAGTGAGGTCCAGTAGGCACAAGGCCTAGTAGAGTGCAGAAGCGCTGATGGTCACGAGGCTGAAGCGCCTTGGTGAACACATCAGCAGTGTTGGCCTCAGTGGCCACGTAGCGAATACAAAGCTGACCGCGCTGCTGCAGCTCACGAGCAAGGAAGTACCGCAGGGCGATGTGCTTCGTTCTGTGCTCCAGTCTGTGCTCCTCACACAAGGCAATGGCAGCCTTGTTGTCGACGTACAGTACTGGAGGAGAACGAGGCCGCTCTCCGAGGTCGGTCAGCAGGTAGGTCAGCCAGCGTAGCTCCTGGGCAGCCATGGCTGTAGCGTAGATCTCAGCCTCGCAACTGGAGCCGAGAACAGAAGAAGAGCGTGTAGAGCGCCAAGAAACTGAGCCAGAGCCAAGGCTGAAGGTGTAACCCTGAGACGACCGCTGAGTGGCCTGGTCGTCTGCCCAAGAAGCGTCTGAGTGCCCTGTGAGAACAACTCGGTCTCGCCCTCCAAGCACAAGCCCCATGCCCGACGTACTGCACAAGTAGCGCAACACCCTCTTAGCGGCATCCATGTGCTCCTTCCTGTGACGGCCAGGAGCGACATAGCGTGCAAGGATGCTAAGAGGGTATGCAAGGTCAGGTCGAGTGCAGGTCATCAGGTACATGAGGCAGCCCACAAGCTCTGGATACGGGCCACTCGGCTCTACGGACTCATCCGAAGGCAGAGCTGAGAGCGAGTGACCGGTAGGCAGAGGAGTGGACTGAGGCGAGGAGTACGTGAAGCGGAAGCGCTGGAGAACCTGCTGCACCATGTGTGACTGAGTCAGGGTGATGGTGCGCCGTGCTCTGTCCCGGGTGATCCGCAAGCCAAGATAGCTTGTCAGCTCACCCAGGTCTGTGCACGTGTGTCTCCTCTGCAGCTCCGACTTCACGTAGGCGAGTCCGGCAGTGTCAGCAGTGGCAAAGACCAAGTCGTCGACGTACACGAGGATGTAGAATGGCGGCAGCGAAGTGTCGGTGCGCAGGAACAGCGACGGGTCAGCTGTAGAAGGCGCGAACCCAAGAGCCGCAAGTGTAGTCCTCAGTGTGTCGTGCCACTCACGCGGAGCCTGGCGGAGACCGTAGACCGGCTGCTGAAGCCTCCACTGGGTACCAGGAGGAAACGACCCAGTGAAGCCAGGTGGGCGGCGCAGCCAGATCTCCTCGTGCAGGCTGCCCTGCAAGAAAGCAGTGCTGAAGTCAAGTGAGTGAAGCTCGTAGTCGCGGTGAGCGGCTATGTGCAGCAGCACCCGAAGAGTAGTCATCTTCGGGGTGGGGGAGAAGGTCTGGAAGAAGTCAACTCCCTCTCGCTGACTGAAGCCTCGAGCCACGTAACGCGCCTTGAAGACAGGCGGAGAACCCGGCGGCCGCTTCACCCTGAAAATCCACATGCCACTGACGATGTTCGCCCCAGGTGGGGGAACCTCGTCGACGTAGGTGCGTGTGGACTTCCAGGAAGCCATCTCGGCGTCCATGGCTGTCTGCCACTGAGAGGAGTAGGGACCCGCCATCGCCTCAGCGTAAGTGCGCGGGGTCGGGATGTCTGGTGCATCCGGGTCTCCCTCAGGGGCAACTAGCAAGGACACGAGACGGGGCAAAGCAGCAGTAAGACACTGGAACTCCTCCTGTCTGTCCTCAAGGACGTCCGTGCCAAGAGCACACTCACCCCCGACGGACGGAGGACAGACAGACTCAGACTCAGACTCAGCAACAAGGCTAGCAGCGTAGTCTAGACGACAGGCAGCAGCAAAGTCAACCAACTCAGCGACCAGAGCAGACGCAGCCGAGGACTCAAAGGTAGGGTCAGTGACAACAGTAGCGAGGAGACGCGTGACAGTAGGGTGCTCAGCACGATACCGGTCAGACTCAGGGTCCGGAACGTCAGGCAAAGAGGACGCAGGAGGAGACGGTAGAGGGACACGTCGAGGAGCAGTAGAGGGACGCAGAGTCATGTAGTGAGTGCCTGGGACAGGAGGAGGACGCTCACGACGGACACGACTACCAGTGCGAGCAGGACGAACAGGCGACGTAGGACGAGACTCAGGCTCACGACGCTCTGTAAGACCTCCTGTGGGACCAGTGTAAGGAGAGGGAGCAGGGAGAGGCGAGGTAGGCGGTAACTGTGACTGCGGCTGGACAGGCGGGGGACACTCTACGGAGGGAGGAGGACAAGGAGGAGGAGCCTGCCCAAGAACCTGCTGAAGGAGCGGTACGAAGTACGGTCGCGGCCGCGCAGCGTCTCCAGAAGCAAAGGAGACTCCTGCGGCCGGGTCCTCAGTACCAGTAGGAGCTCCAGCGTCCGGGTCCACAGCACCAGCAGCAGCTCCACCGGCCGGGTCCTCAGCACCAGTAGTAGCTCCAACGCCCGGGTCCTCAGCAGCAGCAGCAGCGCCACCGCCCGGGTCCTCAGCTCCAGCAGCAGCTCCACCGTCCGAGTCCTCAGCACCAGCAGCAGCTCCACCGTCCGGGTCCTCAGCACCAGCAGCAGCGCCACCGCCCGGGTCCTCAGCTCCAGCAGCAGCTCCAACGTCCGAGTCCTCAGCACCAGCAGCAGCTCCACCAGGCGGGTCCGCAGCACCAGCAGCAGCTCCAACGTCCGGGTCCTCAGCACCAGCAGCAGCGCCACCCCCAGGGTCCGCAGCACCAGGAGCACCACTCCGAAGACTGCAGCGGCGTGTGTACCACTCGCGGATCTGCTGAATGGGGGGGAGCTCCTGGGTAGGAGGGGAAGTACTGGGACGAGCTCCAGCAGCACCTCTCCGGAGGCGGCAGTACTCGAGGTACCTCTCCTGCAGCTGCTGGGAGGAGAGGGCTCCTCCAGGTGTAGCACGCGCAGGCTCAGCACCCCCAGACTCAGCACCCCCAGACTCAGCACCCCCAGGCTCAGCACCTCCAGGCTCCGCACCTCCAGGCTCCGCACCTCCTGGCTCAGCACCCCCAGGCTCCGCACCCCCAGACTCAGCACTCCCAGGCTCAGCACCCCCAGACGCAGCACCCCCAGGCTCAGCACCCCCAGACGCAGTACCCCCAGGCTCAGCACCCCTAGCAGGACGAGAGTCAACAGCTACCTCGACAGGCTCACCCGGGTCTACCTGGGACACACCTGAGGGAGCGGCACCCTAAGGGGGGAGGGGGTCTGGTACCTCAGCACCTGGAGCGAGGAAGAGAGGCGGGGGGGGGAGCGGGGCAGTGCGGTAGGGGAAGAGACGGTAGTAGGGGACGGACTCGTCAAAAGTGACGTCCTGAGAGGCCAGGACACGACGCGAGGTGGGGTGGTAGAACTGCCAGCCAGGGGCGTCCGGGACAAAGCCAAGGAAGACGCAGGGGACAGCGCGACGGGAGAGCTTGTCCGCGGACGTGTTGCGGACAAAAGCTCGGGATCCCCAGACCCGAAAACGCGACGCATCGCCAGCCTCTCCCGTCCAACGCAGTGTCGGAGAAGTCTCGGGCAAGGAGACACGGGGCCAGAGGTTGAGTTGATGCGCAGCGTACCGGACTGCAAACGGCCACAGAAAATGGGGGGCAGCCGCATGGCTCAAGGAGGTACGAGCGACCTCCATGACCAGACCAATGCGGCGCTCAGCAACCCCATTCTGCTGTGGAGAGGCCGGAAGTGTGAACGACTGCTCAATGCCCTCCTGCTGACAGAAGGCCTCCAAGAGGCCAGAGGAAAACTCCCCACCTCTGTCAGAGTGCAGACGCAGGACAGGGAAGTCGGAGCGGAAACGCTCACTGAGCTGGAGACGAGATCTGCGGATCCAAGGGATCAAGACATCAGGGACGTCACCCTTGGCGCGCAAGGGGAAGACAGTGTGTAGCGCGAGAAGTCGTCAACAACAATCAGGAAGTATCTCTCCTGACCCTGACCACGGACGCGGGCTGGGCCCCACACGTCCATGTGGAGCGTCTGCAAGGGAGCAGTCGTCGGGGGAAAGGAGGAGGAGTGAGGAGCGGCGCGCTGCCGTCCCTCGACACAGGGAATACAGGGAGGAGCAGGCGAGTCGGGAAGGGGAGGGAGCACCCTGGGAAGACCAGCAACAAGGTCCCGTTTGTGCATGGCCCGAAGGCGCTGCACAGACGGGTGACCAAGGCGGTGGTGCCAAAGGACAGTCTCATGCGCCAGAGAGCGACACGAGCAGGGGGCGGACAGCTGACCTGACGCAGACGCAGACGCGGACGCAGCTACCTCAGGGGACTCAGTGGTCAGTGTGTAAAGGTCCGACCCCGGCTCCCGAGTGAAGGTAGCCAGGTGGCGACCCGTCCGAGCACACGTGCAGTGTGTCACGCGCTCGTAGGCGGGGGTGAACTGGTGAACACCCCCGTCCTGGAGCGCACTACCTGCCACCAAGTTCGTAGAGAATGAGGGGAGGTAGAGACCTGACAGCGTGCCGGACGGGACCGCCGGACAAGGAAGGACAGTGGAGGAGGTCGCAATGACCGGACCCCCAGAGGGGTCAGCAAGGGAGACAGCAACTGGCCGAGCGAGTGGCTCAAGGACAGTGCGGTCACGAAAGAAGGAGCGAGAAGCACCTGAGTCCAGTGTGAAGGTGTGCAGTGCTGCAGTCGACTCAGTACCAGGGGACACGGACGCACGAGCACCTAGGGCTGCAGCCGGACTGGCCCGAATGCCCGGGTCGGGCGGAACACGCAAGTACTGAGCACCCTCTCCACTAATAGACATCGCATACATGGCAGTGAGAATAGCATCAAAGTCTAAAGCCCAAATATCAACACCCCTCTTTTCCAGATCAGCCCAGCGCGGCAGCTCAGTGGCAGCAGGAAACTGAGTGCGCCACGCGTCGTTAAGGCGCGCGAAGCAGCGCTGCGTGGGGTGCGGCCTCCCACACTGCTGGCCGCTGCGGTCACCTGTGCGAATGACGTACGTGCAGGTAACGCTACGCTGCGCATACCACTCACGGGCGGCCTGAAGCGTCGGGGCGGGCTGCTGACTCTGCCCTCCGCTAGTGCCTCCACGACCACCACCCCCACCGCCGCCGCCCCGGCCACCTCCACCCCTGCCGCTGCCACGACCACCTCCGCCTCCGCTGCCGCCTCCACCACCACTCCCACCGCTGCTGTCTCCTCCCCCACTGCCGCCACTAGTCTCCCCAGCCGCGCCTCCACTCCCACCGCCTCCACCCCCACCTCCTCCGCCGCCACCCCCACCCCTGCCCCCCTTGTTCCTGCGGCGCCCGCTCGAAGCAGACGCGGTCCCGACCTTCTCAGCACCAAGAAGGTCGACAGCAGCAGCAGAGGCGACAGAGGGGAGGAGGGGGGAAGGGGAACACCCCTCAAAGAACGGGGTGCGGGGGTCGCCACGAGAGGTGCCTACAGCGACGATGCTCGCCTCAGCTGCAAGCAGTTCCTTCTCGAGGAGGGCAACAGTGAGCTCAGTGGGGGAGCGAGAGAGGAAGTGGTCCCTGACTGCGCGCAGAGAGTCAGGGAGGCGGGTGACGATGTGGTAGAGAGTGATCCAGAGCGGGGGGGGGTTGCTAGTGAGAAACTCGGCAGGCATAGCAGCGCGAAAGCGGGCCTCACTAGTCTTAAGGTGGGTGATGAGGTCTGCGACTGTGTGAAAGGAGGCTAGGTCGGGGAACAGGTAGGGGAGAGTGAGGCGGCCTAGCGTGGCAGAAGCGGGTGAGGAGTAGCGGGCAACTACAGCGGTGTAGAGGTCCTTAGCAGTCTTGCACTGGCCGAAGTGCTCACGCTCGTCTAGCGGCAGGGAGTTGCGAATAGCAAAGCGAGCGTGCGCATCACGGGTCTGCCACTGGGAACGCAGAGTGCTGTCAGCAGACGAGTCAGGGGCAGTGGCATGGCCTAGGGCATGGTCGTACAGTGAGATATCTTCCTTGGCAGTGAGCTGTAGGAACAGGTGCAGGTCATCTAGCCAGGTTTCGAACTTCACTGGGCGGCCCTCGGCATCGAAAGCTAGAACGAGAGGACTAGCCATAGTGACAGTAGCAGTAGTAGGAGAAACAGTAGCGGTAGCAGTAGTAGCAGTAGGAACAAGGCCGCTGGAAAGGTGTGCGCAGGGTCAACGGGGCCGGCGTGGTGCACGAGCGGCAGTAGTAGGGAGCGCGACAGCAGGAGCTGCAGCGGTGCGCGACCGAATGGCAGGAGCTGCGGCGCACTAGCGGTAGCGGGCGACTCGCGGGCGGCGGCTGCAGAGGCGCACGGGCGGCAGCGGCTTATGCGGACGGGTGACAGCGGCGTATGCGCACGGGCAGCAGCGCCGACAGCGCACGGGCGGCTGCAGCAGCGAGCGGTGCGCAAGCAGCAGCGGCAGCAGCGCACGGGTGGCAGCGGCGTCGGTGCACGGGCGGCAGCGGCGTCGGCGGACGGGCGGCTGCGGGCAACGGGCGTGCGGCAGCTGCGGCAGCGAGCTGCGGGCCTGCGGGGCCACGGCGGGGTGTGCGCGAGCGGGCGACGGGCGGCTGCAGCAGCGGGCGCGTCAGCGAGGCGCACAGGCAGCGCGCGGGCAGCGTGCGGGGCCGCGCGTAAAGAAAACAGCCGCGCGCGTGCGGCTAGCGGGGCGCGCGCAGCGAAATCGACCGCGCGCGGGCGGGTAGCGGGATACGCGCGCTAAAAAAAAAGTCGAGTCGCGCGCGGGCGGCTGGCGGGCTGCGCGCGCGCGGTAGGTAGGAGGCGCACGAGGGCGCGTAGGCGCACGAGGCGCACGGTAGGTAGGTAGGTATGTAGGTAACGGTGGGCCCTAAGAACGGTCCTAGCGAAGGACCTGCTCTGAAACCATGTCAGTAATAACGGACTGGAATGATGAACTAACAAGGATTGTGGGTACAATTATGAAACCCTAATGTTGTGACCCCCCTATAGGCTAACCCACTACAGCCTACACAAATGCAACATGTATAATGTTTGACACAATAGGCAAATTAGATCGCACAAATTCATTACGAATTGACAACAGAGCGTCAGTTTGAACGAACGGCACTATGGCAGCAACATTGACTCCCAACAAACCCCAAGAGCCGAGGTACAATGATGTGGAACAGTGCCACACTGTCCCCAACCAAGAAGGGTCTCGAAACTACCTTCCACAAGGGTCTACACCAACAAAAATGTTACACTATACATTTTTATGTAGCTATTTTCAACATCTTGAAGTGTACCCTTTTGGCGAGCTTCGAAATCACTTGAAGCTTGAACCAAGGCTCGGGTTCTTCATCACAAACTCATCCTTGAGTTCTTGATGGGTCTGCTGCACACACCTGCGACACGCCGAACGTTCGACACAGGACAAAATAGAAACCGCGCACGGGACACACGACAAAATAGAAACTGCGCGCGAGACACAAATGGTCGCATTAACACGCGGCTAGCGATAACTTGCTATTCACTCGACACACACACACACTCGACATCATGACCCATCATACATACGTTATTACAATCATGAAATATATATTAATTTCATGCACTCATACCATTCCATGCACACACGCATGCACGCATACGGACAACAAGCCGAGTGCAAACCGTAGGGTTGCACCAACAAACTCCCCCTCGGGTTGTTGGCCTTAGGATCTTGCTCTCTTGGTTCAGAGCCATCCCAGTCAGTTTGCAACACTTCCAATGCAACTGCTCCACTAGCCTCTTGGTCATCGTGTTAGCTGGCTGCCCCGTCGTCTTCACATAACGCAACTCAACTTCACCCGCGGCCACCATGTCCCTCGTCCAGTGCCACTTCACCCTCATGTGCTTGGTCAGGCCGTGCAACACAGGGTTCTTGGCTAGAGCAATGGATCCCTAGCTGTCACAATAGAGTGGGCTAGGTCCTTGCTGCTCCTCCCCCAATTCAGCCAGCAAACGCCGCTGCCATACGATCTCCCGTACGGCGCGGAAGAGTGCCATATACTCGGACTCCACCGAGCTCAATGCTTGGCCCATCTGCTTCTTGCTCTCCCAAGCAGTTGGGCCTCCACCAACACAGCATATGAAGCCTCCCACACTTGTCATGTCCTCTGGTTCTGATGCATAGGAGGCATCCGAGAATGCGGTGAGGAACAAACGCCTGTGTTCCACACCATCCGCGCCTTTTTGGCGCCTTTGTGCCGCCGCCGAGTATTGCAGCCCAACGGTCGGTGTTTGGCCAAGATACTTGGCCACCCTCATTCCAGCTGCTACCTGCTCCTCATTAGGGCATTGCACAACCCTAGCCAGCTGCCCGGTAGCGAACGCGACATCCGGTCGTGTGTTGACTGCCGCGTACATGAGGCTGCCCACTAATGGGTAAAAACGGCGCCTCTCCTCTTCACCCACGCTCTCCTCCTCTGGTCCCTTCACACACTTGAACCCAGAGGGAAAGGGTGTAGCCACATGGCCTTCATTCTGCCCAAAGTTGGCAGCCAATGCCTCCAGGTACTTCCGTTGGTGCACCCGCATGCACCGCTTCTCCACATCACGCTCGATGTGAAGCCCGAGGTAAAAGTTCACGTCCCCAAGGGACTTGCACTTGAACTTGTCTTGAAGCTTCAGCATCACCTCCTTCACAAGATCAGAGGAGGGTGAGAAGATGAGAATAGCATCCACATAGACCACCATCAAGCTCCTCTGCTCCCCCTCGCCAAGCATGAACAAGGAGTGATCGGCCGTTGAGGGAGTGAAGCCGATCTCCTCCAACACTTCACGCAGCTTCAAGTACCACTACCTAGGGGCCTGCTTCAGCCCATAGAGGGCCTTCTTCAGCTTCCACACTCTGCCGCTACCGTCATCAAACCCCTCTGGCTGCGCCATAAAAATCTCCTCCACAAGGATTCCGTTGAGGAACGCCGTTACGATGTCCAGCTGCTTCACCACCCAACCTTTGATTGCGGCTCCCGCGAATAGGGTTTGCAGCGTCGTCGGCTTCACCACAGGAGCAAACAGCTCATTGAAGTCCACCTTGTCCTTCTGCTGGTACCCCTTGGCCACCAGCCTAGACTTGTAACGCTCGATCTTGCCATTGGCATCCGACTTGATTTTGAAGAGCCACTTGGACGTTATCGCCGTACCCCGCCCCGGTAGCTCCACCAATTCGAACTTGGCATTCTCCTCGATGCTCTTCAGCTCACTCTCCATTGCCTTCTTCTGCTCTTCAGCATAATTACTCTCCAAGCCTCCTTGAGAGTTGCTGGTTCTCCCGGCATCTCCACCGGAGAGAAGAACGCGAAGGCACACTCCTCGTAGTCACTCTCCTCGTCGTCTCCGACCATCATTGCCGCTCCGGCCAGGGCTGTCTTGCCCTGCTTGAGAGCAGCCCATGCCTTTGGTCCCTTCTCTGGTTCACGCTGGAAAGGCTTGATGTGACGGATTTGACTGCTCCCCAATGCTTTCCCAAGAACTCTTCCCTGCAGAACAAGCTCTACAGGGTGCTCTACATGTACCAGCCGGACTACTTCGACGATGGAACCGACCGGATGTGTAAGCTACTGAAGAGCATCTACGGGCTGAAGCAGTCGTCGCTGCTGTGGTACAGGGCTCTCGACAGTATGCTGCTGGGCGCTGGCTGGAAGAAGAGCCAGGTCGATGAGGCGCTCTACTTCAAGGCTGGCAACGACGGAGTTACCTGCTGGGTGCTGGTCTACGTCGACGACTTGCTCGCCGCCAGCAGCAGCACCGCGATGCTGAAGGAGCTGAAGGGACTGGAAGATGCCACCTTTAAGCTGCATGAGGTCTCGCCAGTTGTGAAGTACCTTGGGCTGGAGATCGTGCGCGACAGGCCAGCCGGCAAAGAAGCTGTGGCTGCACCAGCAGGGCTACGCCGACAAGCTACGCAGGCGCTTCATCGACGAGGAGCAGGGCGGTCGAGTCCTGTAGACGTCGGTCTCGGTCGACGCCTACGCCGAGCTGACGTTTGACGACGAGGAGGCCCAGGTGCGCGAGGAGGATGAGTACCGGCAAAAAGTTGGCTCGCTGCAGTTCGCGGCAACGACGACAAGGCCAGACATCGCGTTCGCATACAGCAAGCTGGGAAGCGGCCTTACGGTGAGGAGCGACCAGCATTGGCGCGAGGTCGACCGCTGCCTCGCCTACCTCGCTGACACCCGCGACACCGCCCTGGAGTTCGGCGGAAGACCAGAGTCGCTGGAGCTGATCAGCTACGTGGACGCCGACGACGCGGGCGACAAGCAGAACCGGACGAGCACGGGCGGCTACGTGTTTGTATATGGAGGGGCCGCTGTCTCCTGGTCGAGCCACCGCATCAAGTGCGCATTGCTCTCCTCGACCGAGTCGGAGTACGTCGCGGCCACGGACGCTGGCAAGGAGGGGCGTCGACTTCGTTTCCTTTCTCCTTGCAGAGTTCAAGCTGCTCGACCCTGGGAAGCCGACTGTCCTCCGCGTGGACAACAAGTCGGCGATCACGGTCGCTGAGGGCATGGGGTTGACAGGCAACCTCAAGCACATGGAGCGACGCTACGCCTGGCTGCAGCACATGGTGAGGCGCGCTAAGTTCAAGCTGAAGTACATCCCGACCACCGAGCAGCCGGCGGACTTCCTGACGAAGGCGCTGCATTT